GGTTGCCAGATACATATAAAAAAATGCTTTTGCCTCTCATTTTCAGTGCATATTTTCACTAAACACAATACACACATCATATTGAAACACCTGACTCACATCCAAACTTTTGCATCAAAATATAACAATTTTAAAGGGACAACACAACAGTTTACCATGCCCCATCTGTGTGGACACGTATGCAGCTGCTAACTCTGCAGGCCAGGGAGGTTTATTCTCAGTGTAAAGGATCAACACGGCGAGTGATCCATGTAGAGCTCAGCCGTGACCAGAGTTTCCACTTTATAACCCTTTCAAAATAAACTACGATGACAGGAACAGACAGTAAGACCCTCCAGGTTGTTGTTTTTTTTCTGTTGGAGAGGTGGGGAGATGTGTTAAAACAAAACAAGTAGACTGGAAAAGAATTGATAGAAAATGACTTGTCGCTACATGGTACTGATGTAAAATCAATAAAGAAATAAAAGCGAATTTGCACTTTACTCAAACTAGCTTTTAGCTCATCAGTCCGGTCAGAATTCAGCGATTTATTCAGAAATGTAAAACAGGTAAGATATTTATTGTTTGCAACCTTTTCCCAGAACAGAAGAGTTTTGAGGTGTTAACAGCTAGTTAGAGTCTGAAAGTAGCCGAGGGTCCGTCTGAAAGAATGTCCTCTGGCTGCTGCCCTGACCTCGCCACACACTTGTTTTCACCTCGGTGCAGCAGCTACACACAGATGACTTTACAGTAAATCTGTTTGCTAGCTGTGCCCTGAGGTTTCTGAAAACTCACGCTCTAAAGTCCCTCTCACACACACACAAACACACACAGACTTGTAGCCTGAAGTGCAAACACACACCCAGGCTTCTGAGCACACAAACCAAGCACAAACACTGAGCTCGGAGGGTCTCAGCAATCAGACCCGAGTCGGTCTGGAGAGCGTCTCAGTTGGTCTTCGAAACGCACTCAGCTCCAAGTCTCATAAAACCTGCTGACCTGCTCCAGGGGAGAACTGAAGGAAGAGGCTGGAATTTGTCTTTATCCTAATCAAATCTACAGGATATAACTTGAAGACGTGCATATCGCTCGCCGCCTCTCATGTCAGAGATTTAAACTATGATCTTCTTACGCCGAGAAAGGACGACATCGAGGTCGTTTTGGTCAGATTTTAAAAGAAAGAAAATGCACAGTTTCGTGCAATATTGCTGCCGGAGTTAAAGCAGTATTTGTCTTAGCTAAATTCAGTTAGCTGTGGCGACCATCTTGAATCAGATTGACTCCAAAGGTTAATCAGGTGTAGATGTCCACACTTGGATTACTAGTTAAATGTTTATTTAAGAACCATCCAGTGGTTCGTGAGTTATTTTGCTAACAGACAAACAGGGATGACTCTTTGCATAAGTTGTCTAAAATGTCATAGTGTGACAGTATAAGACTTTGCACAGTGAGTATTACTTAGATTATATGTTGTAAATTACTCTCAGCTAAAACTACACTAAGTCTTCGCTCAATATCTGTAAAATTGCCTGAATTAGAGCCATTTATGTGTTTAATTTCATTAAAGGGATCCCCGATTAGTTGTAACATTAGACTTTATATGATAAACATATATTTTAACTGTAAAATAAAGACTGTAAAAATACTATAGGATGTTTAGTTTTTATAATTTTTAAACTAAAAGTTTAAAAATATATTACACTGATGGGGCCATTTTATTTATTAGCAAAGCATTCTGGGTAAATGATGACATCAACTAGGTCATCAGTGCGAGGCTGCTAGCGAGCTATATCCACCCTGAAGGTTAATCTTGGACAATATCTGATGATCGACTCTTTTAAATGAAACCAGAGAGCGTTGACAGAGAGGAGAAGGTAGAAATGACTCAGCCTGTAACTGAAAATATGGATGGAGGACAACAGAGCTGCTTCATGGAAGAAGAACCTCAGCTTAGCCTGTTAGCTTTAGCGTTAGCACTGATGCTACCACCATACATATGTATTAGCTCAGTGCTACATTCTCCTCTCGTCACTGAGGTCCTTCATCCACATGACAGAGAGGGGAACGCAAAAATGACTCAGTCTGCAACTGAAAATAAGGATGGAGGACCTCAGTTTAGCTTGTTTGTCACGCTAGCACCAAGCTAATACATATAAGGCAATATAGCATGGGCGCTAGCGCATAGGCTAACAGGCTAAGCTGAGGTTCTTCTTCCATGAAGCAGCTCTGTTGTCCTCCATCCATATTTTCAGTTCCAGGCTGAGTCATTTCTACCTTCTCCTCTCTGTCAACGCTCTCTGGTTTCATTTAAAAGAGTCAATCATCAGATATTGTCCAAGATTAACCTTCAGGGTGGATATAGCTCGCTAGCAGCCTCGCACCGATGACCTAGTTGATGCCATCATTTACCCAGAATGCTTTGTGTGTAAATAAAATGGCTCCATCCATGTTAAAATATATTTTAAAAAATTTACCAAACTAAACAGCCTACAGTATTTTTACAGTCTTTATTTTGCAGTTAAAATAAATGTTTATCAAATAAATTTTAATGTTACAACTAATCGTGGATCCCTTTAAGCTGTGTGGACCATTTTTAATTAAGATATCTCTAAAGTTTCATCAGTTGTTGAGGTTAATCCAGTGTACGTTTCCTGAAGGTTTCACTAAAATCTGTCTAATGGTTCCAGAGATATTTTGCTAACACACAGAGTTGAACAAAGACCTTGAATAATCTGCTGGTGCTCAAATATGTGTTGCGGATCAGTCTCATCTACTACTACACCAAAATGTGAGGTCATTGTTTGCGATGCTGAGTGTTTTGTGTTTTGTAAGGCTGTGGCAGCCAGACTGAGTCAGGCTGATTTTGGTAACAGACCGATCTGGACCAAAACCTGATCGTCCGCCTTCACCTTTAAGCGACGGGCAATAACGAATCTTAGCTCAAGCTTCCTGCCAAAAAAAAAAGCCAAAATAAACAAAAACCTCCCACAGACAAACTGTACGTCAGTGTTAATTTTTGCAGCAAGGCGCACACATGGAAGCACAACACCAGAGCATCAGCACCGTGTCAATGTTTGTCTTTTCACAAGTCATTTAACCACATCTATGATGTCACGTGTTGCTTGTGTCTGCACCTCCCTGCACCCACACACCCGTCCATCGCTTGTTTCTTTCCTGGAATTATCTCTGCCTGGGGGCCTGCCTGCAGCCATCCCTCTGATTTCAGCAGGAAAAAAAATTGAACTGGTGGGCCGGTGTTTACTACAACCCAGAATGCTGTGATGATGATGTTGGGGGTGGGTTACAGGAGGAGTGGCAGGCTACATCAGGCCAAAAATTGCTTTTACTTCCTCTCAGAGGCCAAAGGACAAAAAGAAGAAGACAAGTAACAAGAGGCAGGAAACAAAGGCATCGTTTTAAAGCAGCAGCTTACTGTCTCTGACATCATCAAAGTGAGACGATTTCCAAAAGAATCAGGGAAAATCCCACATTTATGTCACCCTCTTTCACGTTAAAAAGGTCAGAAGTGGCTCACATGTCCAGGCTTTCATGAGCTGATAATCAGACGGAGTCAGAGTGCGTCGATACATGACTGAATCTCTCATCAATGTGCCTTTTTTAAAATGCTGTGAGATAACCAACCATACTCCTTCCTGTTTCTCCAGCCCACTTTATCATTACTGACACTTTCCAGGAGGAACACAGTGTCAGTGATCACAGGTCGGATTCACGTCTCTTTCCTGTGTTCAGTTGATGAACAAATATGTTGAGTGTGTTAAATCTGCAAACTTTGACAACTAAAAATGAACTGAACTTTATTTTAGCTATATGTTCAGAAAAAAACAGTACTTAAGTCTAATGAGCACAAAAATCTTCCAAATCTCAGAGTATCATATGAGAAAACATAGGCTACTATTACGCTTTAGCTTTTAAATGTTTTCCTAATTTTGGCATTAAAGTACTACTCTGCAAACTTTAACGTTTGTTGTACTTTTAGCAACTGTTTTGCTACATTTATGTTTTCATGCCAGTTTTCTACATTTACCTTTTGGCTACCATCTTAAATACTGCTGTAAATACTGCTCTTCTAATTTTAGCTTTTAGCTACATATGTTCTACTTTAGCCTTTTGACTACAGTTTTGGACCTGTAAACACTTAGCTAATCTTTAGCAAATTTTAGCTACAGTTTAGCTTTTAGCTATGTGTTGTTAATTTTAGGATTTAAGTACAGTTCTGATCATTTTAGCTACAGAATTTCTACTTTTAGCTTTAAGCAGTGGTTTTGCAACATTTAGGTATTAGCTAGTTTTTAACATTTAGCTACTATAATACTACTACAATTTGGTACTTATAACCTTGAAAAAACATTTTGTCTAAGTTTAGCTTTGAGCCCCATATTTAATACTTTTAGCTTTTAGTTACAGTGTTGCTACTTTTAGTTATTCTGCCACTGTTGGCTTCACTAATTTTAGTTTTTGGCTACAGTTTTGCAACTGTAGGCTTTTAGCTACTGTTTGGACACAATTTCATTGTTTTTAGCTTTTAGTTACCATTTTGATTATTTTAGTTTTTAGACGCAGTTTTGTAAATTTTAATTTTAAATTCTGGTTTGTTCCTTTTAGCTTTCAGCACTTTTTGTGTGTGTGTTTTATTTTTTAGCTGCAATTTGGTTGATCATAGTTTCTACTCTGCTTATGTTAACTTTAAAATTTCAGCTTCAACTTTTCAATCAAATCCCAGCAAATATTCAGCATTCACTGGATTTACACAGAAAATACAAGTTTTCTAGTTTAGACAACAGTTGTTAGTTTATGCTAGTTTTTCTAAAGCTAAAGGTACATTTTCTTTGTTCTGTGGACTTTAATTCAACTTCTGCCCACAAATCCCATGTAATCCCGTGTAGTCAGCACAGCAGTAAGAAGATGTGAAGCATTCAGTGTCACAGTAACACACGTGAGCGTAGAAACCAGAGCTACATGCTAATGTTAGAACATGAAGCTGGAGGAGCCGAAGAACTGACCCTGGATGCACTGCAGAGAGCCATCCTCCGCCCGGATGGTAAACGTCTCCCCTGGGTTCACCTGCACCAGGATCACCTGTGCAAACACACACAAAACACACAGATTATTGGCATTAAGGAAAAACACACACATATATATTGATCCATCTTTAACATCGCAAAACAGGAGCGACTTTCTGCAGAGAAATTATTTCCCAGCTGTGACACAGTGACCGTTAGATGAGAGCAGGGCGTTCACAGCCTGGTTTGAGAACAGCTTTAATCTTTAAACTGAATTGGGAAAAAGAAAACAAGCTCTCTCTGTATCACACACACACACACACACACAGGTGAGCACACACCAACAAAGACAACACACCTAATTTTTGCTTTCAGCATCTTTCTTTCGGACTGAGCCCGAGGAGAGCGTGCATGCACCTTACCGTCATATTCTCCGTGTACAAATTGTTGAGTGTGTACACGTGGCTGTAGACGTGGAACAGGTGACCCTCCATAGCACACACACACACAAACACACACACACACGCGGGGACACACATGCATGCACGCAGCAGCACGGCTCTCTACGCTCCACAGGTGCACTGCTGTAAAAGCCTCATATCTCCTGTTCCTCCTGTCGTCTCTGCATCTTCTCCCATCTCAGTGCTAACATGCTCCTCTACCTCAGACACACACAAACACACACACACTTCCTGCTCTGTCTGCTGCAGCGGCTGCTGTTGCTATGGGAACCCCAGCGTAGCACAGGGCGACCCAAGGACTGAGAAAGCCCCAATCTGCGACCATACGGATGGATTCAGCCGCATGCACACTAAGTTTTAGCTGCGTTCGCTTACTTTGAGCGCTAACACAGAGCTGCAGTTTGGTGTGGTGGTAGCTGAGAGTCAGGTGTAACACATGCTCTGAGAGATGTTTGATAAAAACCTTTGCTCTCAGTTCACCGCAGCAAGAGCCTGAGTTAAAGAAGGTGTGGGCAGAGCTGATAGACAAACACTTAGGTATGTTCTCAGACTCAACACAGACACTGGTATGCCCACACACACGCAATCGACACAATCACGCACAAACACACACATAGTAGGGCTGACCGAGAGGGGAGAAAAACACACAAATGCTGAGTCGAATTTGTTTAATTATCAGTCTTGTTTTCTGAATCCACTCTGGAAGCAAGTTTAAACTGCAGGGTGTTACAATACTAAGAGCTCTTTAGCTGTTGTGAGCTAAAAAAAACCCGTAAGTGTTAACGTGTCACAGCCAGAACACCCCCGGCATGTAGAAACAGCCCAAAGCACATGGTGCGCAAACATATCGGTGACAAAATAATCCAGCTCAACTCAAGTGACAGCCATCGTTTCAATAAGGGTGATCACTTCCTGTGAAGACCAGGTGAGGTGTTGTGCTTCGTAAGGGGTCCGGCTGTTGTATTTTAATAAAAACCACCAGAGTGCATCCAACTGTTTTTACTTCATCGTTCAAGCAAAGCCCAGAGAATGTCAGCTGGGTCGACTTCTTGAAACATGTTAAACAAATGCAGTGATGCAGAGTTAAGGACAGTCCCAATTACAAAGCGTCTAGAAGACCAATGCGTGAGAAGATGTGTAAATGTGCAGAGTTTGACCTGAGTGTGCATGTTATTAATGGCTGCTGCTTAGTTCTGGGTGGTATAACCAAGATCTTCTATCACAATATTCTTAAAGGGATCCCTGATTAGCTGTAACATTAGACTTTATTTGATAAACATATATTTTAACTGTAAAATAAAGACTGTAAAAATACTGTAGGATGT